ATCCATGAGGAAATTGAGGAAGGTTTGGATGCGCGCATATTTGGGAATCGTCATGACGAGCTCACAACGTAAATGCTGCTACAAGAGGAAGAGCCAGTGGCAGGCCACTACGGGTCAGCGCTATACGCGGCGCCAGCGAAAATGATACCAGACGAATGCGTCCTGATCTGCACGATGTCTGAGGAGCAGCGCATCTTGTCCCAGGAGCATGGAGCACAGGCCAGAAGAGAATATGGAATCCTATGCTACGCCCGTGCAACTTGCGAGTCCGATGCCAGCTATGCGCTGGATTCGGGCTGCCATGGAGAATATGTGGAACTATGTATCACAACGGACATAGCAAACGTTCTATTCCCAGAACAACGACACCAGCTATTTCAAGTCGCGGGCATAGCCGCGATCATGGCATACATAGCCACGGCTTTCAAGCGCGCTGTAGTCGTGAAGGAGGACGGCCTACTGACGCAAACAGAAATTCAGGCAACCCTTTGGAAGGTATAAAAAGCCCTCTACACTGAGCTACATATGTGGCCTGGCAATGATAGCTTTCGCATGTTCCCACTCGCAGGCGCTACAAACGTCGCGGCATCAAGATATGCACTGAGATCGAAATTCGCCAAGAACGGAAAACAAAGGCGAGATGGAGCGCGCGATGCGCCTCAGGCCCCCGTTGCGAGGCATCGTAGACGTCGAGGCCTTCGACGTCGAAGCCTCTTCGGGCACAGCGCGGGGGGCCGACCAGATGCTCTTGGCCAGCGCGGCGGAGTGCAGGCGAGAGTGGACGCTCGCATCCTTAGATATTGACAGGGCTTCCCTCAAAGGACCGACTTATCAGGGGCCAGCAGCGGCCGCTGGAGAGAAGGAGAGATTAGTGTGTTTCACGCTCCTTCCCGTTTCCGCATCGGCGTTCCGAACGTTGCCAGGCTGTGCCAATTTTGACAAGACAAATCGCTGTCTCCAGTGCCTGGGGCCTGGTGCGGGCGCCAAAGATGCTCCCATCGAGCATCCCCGCTCAAGCATAAGGTCATCGCAGGGGGGTCCGGGCTCCACGGCGCGAAACACAATGCAGAGTTGCATGCGGGCCCGACCCTACTTGCGGCCACCGCATAAACGTGGCAGGCGAGGAAATCCGCATCGACAAGCACGCGCAACGCGTAAGAAAGACATTTGGCAAATTTAAGTCGGACAGGCAAACGCATGCAACTGGCGCCGCGCGTTGCGCCAGACCCCCGAACGGCGACATCACTGCGGTCCAGGGTGAGCGCGTCGAACACTTGAGAGCCATCCGACATCCCGAGCTAACAGGAGCAGCGCCCGAGGAGAAAGCCACCGCGGCGGTGACAGACATGTTTATTCGTTTGAGGGGTGCACTGGCATATGCCCTCATCGCGCAGGTGTGTCTCGTGGTCTACGTCGTTTCGCTACAACGAGTACAAAAACCTGCGCACGTTCAGGTTCGGAGGTTGAACGCGGTGACCAGAAAGCCGTTATCTTGTCCTTGGAAACTCACGCACCCAGTAATGACGCCAACGGTCGAGGTGGGTTCCCCTGTCGACTGGATGTTGCCGCGTGATGGACTATGCGGACGACGAAGAAAATGGGTTCGGCATCCGCGGGGAATGCCTGCTGATGCGCGTGAACGCGCGCAGCGGCGCAACATTTTTCCACCGCGCGGATGCATACTGCAAGTCGCATCGACTTCACGTGCGTCCAAGCAGTTCAGCGGAAGCTCTAGCGTCGGCACGCAATCTCGAAGATTGCTACCCGACGATAGTCGCGCTGCGCGAACTCAGGGCGAGATCCATTATGTCTCCCGGGGAATGTAAGAGAGCGTTGGCAATTGGCAGCCTCGGCGTACAAGTATCTTTCACCATTGATGCCGAATATGTCGTCAAATCCTTGCGCAGTAAAGTTCGGAAGAAACTTACAGAACGCATGTTACTCGGGCAGATAAGTTCGACCAGACAGGTGAGGTAGAGAAATATTGTACTCTGTGTTAAATGGTGTGATGCGTGGATCGCACAGCAGACGGACATATAAGGGATGTGTTGATCGTAAATTGTTGTTACGGGTAATGTCATGATGTAAAGAGATGTACGCCACGCCGTAGCATTGCAGAACGCACGCAGTACTGAGCCAGCCCTGTCATGGGTTTGCGGACCGCGCTTGATCAACACATCTGCGCCTGGCAACGAGCGCCCGGTTAAGGGCTTCCCTGCTATTTTGTAGTTGGCGCCCGCCACTGGGCATTCATTTTTTTTTTGTGGTCCATCGAATGGCCGCGCAGACTGTTGCTCGGCACTTGGCCGCAGGCTCACACTGCACCTTCTGTGTGCCGCTTAGCGTGCGCCCATGTTGCTGTCTAGGCTGAGTTGCCGATCAGCGGTGGCCCATCATAGGGGAACCCCGGGCAAAATGGAATAATCTTGCCCGGCTTCAGATGCTCGGCAACAAGCTGCGCACCGTAGTGAGCTACACCGAAGGGGCAGGAGGAGCGGCTGACAGCTGCTATCGGCGGGATAAGACACCACCCTCCTCCTGCGTCGATGGGCGCGCCGCCAAACCATTATTACTTAACAGCGAAGACTGATAGGTTTCTAGTAGGGTCAAAAGAGAGCATCATGACTCCACAGGGGGGTCCGGGCGGCATCCGGGGAGCTGGGTCCGAACTCGTTTTTCGCAAACAGTCACACACTTCGTGCTCTTCGACCTCCCAGAACTCCATTCCCGGGCCACATTCTGAATGCCCGGAGCCAACTGTAGGCCACTTCGTGCTCTTCGACTTCCCAGAACTCCATTCCCGGGCCACATTTTGAATGCCCGGAGCCAACTGTAGGCCACTTCGTGTCTTCGTCCCAGAACTCCATTCGGGCCACATTTTTGCCCCCAGTAGGCCACTCCCAATTCCCGGGCCACATTTTGGATGCCCGGAGCCAACTGTAGGCCACTTCGTGTTCTTCGACTTCCCAGAACTCCATTCCTGGGCATGATTTTGAATGCCCGGAGTCAATTGTAGGCCACTTCGCATGATTTTGAATGCCCCGAGCCAACTGTAAGCCACTTCGTGTTCTTCGAGTTCCCAGAACTCTACTCCTGGGCGACATTTTGAATACTGAGGCAGGCTGATGTTGAGGCTGAGGCAGGCTGAGGCTGAGGCAGGCTGAGGCTGAGGCAGGCTGAGGCTGAGGCCGAGGCTGAAGGCAGCTGAGGCTGAGGCTGAAGCAGGCTGAGGCTGAGGCTGAGGAGGCTGAGGCTGAGGCTGAGGCTGAGGCTGAAGGCTGATGCTGAGGCAGGCTGAGGCTGAGGCTGAGGCTGATGCAGGCTGATGCTGAAGCAGGCTGAGGCTGAGGCCGAGGCTGAAGGCAGACTGAGGCAGAGGCTGAAGCAGGCTGAGGCTGAGGCTGAGGCAGGCTGAGGCTGAGGCTGAGGCTGAGGCTGAGGCAGGCTGAGGCTGAGGCTGAGGCTGATGGCTGAGGCAGGCTGAGGCTGAGGCCGAGGCTGAAGGGCTGAGGCTGAGGCTGAGGCTGAGGCAGGCTGAGGCTGAGGCTGAGGCTGAGGCTGAGGCAGGCTGAGGCTGAGGCTGAGGCTGAGGCTGAGGCTGAGGCTGAGGCTGAGGCTGAGGCTGAGGCTGAGGCTGAGGCTGAGGCTGAGGCAGGCTGAGGCTGAGGCTGAGGCTGCAGGCTGAGGCTGAGGCAGGCTGAGGCTGAGGCCGAGGCTGAAGGCAGACTGAGGCTGAGGCTGAAGCAGGCTGAGGCTGAGGCTGAGGCAGGCTGAGGCTGAGGCTGAGGCAGGCTGATGCTGAGGCAGGCTGAGGCTGAGGCTGAGGCTGAGGCTGAGGCAGGCTGAGGCTGAGGCCGAGGCTGAAGGCAGACTGAGGCTGAGGCTGAAGCAGGCTGAGGCTGAGGCTGAGGCAGGCTGAGGCTGAGGCTGAGGCAGGCTGATGCTGAGGCAGGCTGAGGCTGAGGCTGAGGCTGATGCAGGCTGAGGCTGAGGCAGGCTGAGGCTGAGGCCGAGGCTGAAGGCAGACTGAGGCTGAGGCTGAAGCAGGCTGAGGCTGAGGCTGAGGCAGGCTGAGGCTGAGGCTGAGGCAGGCTGATGCTGAGGCAGGCTGAGGCTGAGGCTGAGGCTGATGCAGGCTGAGGCTGAGGCAGGCTGAGGCTGAGGCCGAGGCTGAAGGCAGACTGAGGCTGAGGCTGAAGCAGGCTGAGGCTGAGGCTGAGGCAGGCTGAGGCTGAGGCTGAGGCAGGCTGAGGCTGAGGCAGGCTGAGGCTGAGGCTGAGGCTGAGGCAGGCTGAGGCTGAGGCAGGCTGAGGCTGAGGCCGAGGCTGAAGGCAGACTGAGGCTGAGGCTGAAGCAGGCTGAGGCTGAGGCTGAGGCAGGCTGAGGCTGAGGCAGGCTGAGGCTGAGGCTGAGGCAGGCTGAGGCTGAGGCTGTGACTGCGACTGCCGTTGCCACTGCGACTGTCATCGCGAATGCGACTACGACTGCGAGAACAGCAGAATTCTACAACTGGATTCTCATCTGAATCTTAAGGGGAATGCTTCCAGATATGCTCCTACACATCGCTGTTAGGTTGCTTTGCCGGGATAATTTTATATTATATGCATGTTAATTTAGACTCACGCCTTAAGCCTGGTCGTTGCGATGCGCTTGGTTCTCCCTCCCCCCCACCCCCCGACTTTTAGGGGATCTTCCGCCGTGATATGGAGCGGGGGCAACGCAGTAGCGAGCGCATCAGTGGCCGTTGTGGCTCAAGGCGTCGACGCCACGATACATTCTGCCAGTATCATTACATGATCCTGGCTACAATCGCGTGAAGGAGCATATCTTATTCATTTGTACGTCAGCCTCAGGGTTTGCCATCCTCCGATGAGTTGTTTTCTATTGGGGCCTCCTGGGGGTTCTTGGGGCCTATTGGAGGCGTACATCTTGTCGCTGGGCTGTCTCGGGCTGGTATTGGGGCACGTTGCAACCGTTTTGGGGCTGTCTTTTGCTGTCTCCGAACCGCCCAGATGCCGACGATAAGCAATCCTGCGGGAAAGGGGGTGTTTCGGTCCGCGCATGTGCGGCGGCGGATGTCTGCGCTGCGCGTATTCCAGGAGATCAACACTTCCGGCAGCAACGCCGTGTCGTGGAAGGAATGGAAAGCTTTTTTCAAGGATGTAGGACTGGGCGTGCAAGAGAAGATGGCAGAGATGAATCGCGTAAATATTGAAGTCCGCGCCAAGATGCAGGAGGACAGAGTGCTGAAGAAGGTCAAAGAGCAAACGCACAAGGTGTCCAAATCTTCCAAGAAATCAGTGCCGAAAGATACTGCTCAGGACGACGGCCCCCAGCGACAACCGCAGACCGGCGTCGCGCATGAGGCTCAGGAGCCCTTGCCTGCGGTCTGGCAGCGCTTCTACGATGAGCTCTCCCTGCTGCAGGACGACGAGGGCAAGGAGTACGCTTCTCTCACGGACGAGGAGGTGGGCGCGGTCCGGTCGGCGTGCCAGGCGCTCGGCCTCACCATGTGCCAGAAGGTCGACGGCGGGCCTGTCACCGTGTACAACTACAGCACGTTCGCCAAGGAGACGCGCAAGCGGCTGCGCGCACTGAAAGAGGAGCGCTTCCTCGAGTTTCCGACCGAGCTCACCGACGTCCAGCGCGGCATCGTTCACGGCATCGCCGAGGAGCTCGGCCTCGCCTCCTACGACCGAGGCCAGGGTGAGGAGAAGAGCGCGGTGGTCGCCAACACCAAAGGGTTCGCCGAGAGGATCCGGACGGAGTTCGCCGCCATCGAGCTGGGAGGCAGTCGGCTGTACACCGAGGTTCGGAGGAGGAAAAGGTGCTCATACCGCTAGCCTTCGCCCGTTTTGCCTTTTCCGGCCTCTAGGGATGTCCCCACCGCCTGATTCGCCTCGAATTCTGGTCAGAACGCACCCTGGGAGAGGTCCGGGGAGTAGCGGTATCGGTACCTTTTTGGTTTCCCCAGAGGCGTTCTCCCCTTGCCAGCGCCACATCGTCCAAGCAGTCGCGGACTCTCTGGATCTTTGGGTGCGCCCGTCGCAGGGTGCCCTGGAGGTGTTCAGCCTCGACGACTTCGGGAAGGGCGTGCGCAGAGACCTGATGGCGCTGACGGACGGTGCGGAGATGGCCTTCCAGCCCGCTCTCTCGGAGCAGCAGCGGAAGATCGTCTTCGCCATCGCGGAGGACCTGGGACTCGTCGCCGTGGACACCGGCAGCGACGACTGCAGGCAGATTGCGGTTGGCAACATGACAAGCTTCCTGGAGGAGGTCAAGGCCAAGCTGCAGCCGCTGAAGCGAGGGCAGATGCACGCTTTTGCCAAGAGCCTGACGCCTGTGCAGAGCAGTGTCGTGCACATGGCTGCCGCGCAGATGGGCCTGTACTCGGAGACGATGCTGGAGGGCGATGACACCTGGGTCGAGGTGCACAAGTTGTACCCCGGGCAGACCGCTCCGTACCGGCAACCCCCGCCTCTGCAGATGATCGATGCCGGCAGCCATGCAGATGCCCAGCAGCCCCCCCCCGCCGTCCCCGACGTGGCCCGCAGCGTCAGGCGGCGTGGCTCCGCAGTCGGTGGCGCCAGCGCCGCGGCAGCAGAGGCCCGCTCCCAGGAGCCACCAGCGGGCAGCGCCCCCGCCGAGGAGGCCCGCAGCGTGCAGGCGGCCGTGCACGCGGGGGGCTGCGGCGGCGAGGACCAGGACGGGGGCGCAGAGAGCCGTCGGTCAGAGCAGGGTCCGCGGGAGGTCCGCGCGGAAGTCTGTGGCTCGGCTTTGGGCCCTCCGCCCTGCACCCCCTTTTCCCTCGCAGGCGACTTCCCGCCCCCAGTCCCGACCCCTTCCAACAATCAGGCAATTTACCGGCATCGTTTAACCAATCCCCATCCCCATCCCCTTCGAGACCCCCACCGAATTACCACCCCAGTTGGGGATACACCCCTCGAAACTCGAAGGGAACGACCTATATCCCTACCTAGGGGGGTAAATCGGTCAGTGGGGCCCAGGCCACGCCGCTGGGGATGGGAATCGTTTAAACGATACTCAGTTTAGAAACGAGGGGGAACTCGGGGATGCACCCCCAGAGCGCTATTCGAACGCCCCCCCTCGTATATCCCGAGTTGGGCCGTGACTTGTTGCCAGTTGAAGGTCCCACAAAAGTGGGGATTGGAGTCGATATAGCGTTCATTATTATTCCCTGGCGCGCGCGACGCGCACAAGGGACGGCGCCAGAGGCGCCGCAAGGGGTGTGGGGAGGGAAGTCCGGCGCCCACCAGGGAAAATCCGCGAGGCGCCGACCAGGGTTTATGCTAGTGCTTCTGCTGTTGAGTTCCCGAGGAGGAGAGTCTCATGCAGAAAGCCTTCGACACCTTCGCCACGGGCAACTTCCAGGGGCAGAAGATCTTCCTTCGCTTTCCAGATCTGAAGGAGTTGGTGTCCAAGATCCCGGGGGTCACTAGTGCCAACACGTTTCACAAGTACGAGAAGGAGTTGGAAAGCGCGTTCAATGACACGATGCAGCTGCAGATCGACATGGACCTGAGGTGCAGCAAAGGCTTGACATTCCGATGGTTCCAGGTATTTATCCAGGCGGCCATGCGGAAGATTGGAAAGAACGCCCTGGCATTCTTGTTCACACTCGGCCAGAAGCGCGAACCTAAAGCATGAACCTCGGTGTTGCGTGCGTGTGCTTAGCGCACGCATTCAAAAATTTTCCTCCTGCCCTTGAGGCGCAAGCGTGCAGATCATCGCGGCCACCAGGCAAGCGACGGCCGGTGACTTTGACGAATTACTATCCTTTTCTGTTGTACTGCATTGTCAGGACTTCAGCTTCAAATGCGCTTCAATTGGTCTGCCCTGGCGAGCTCGCGCGCGCTCAGTCGGGGCCCACTGATGCCGATTGGCAGATCGCTATTTTTTATGTCTGTCATGTTCCTCTCCATCCTCTTCCTCTTCCTCCTCCTTCAATTCCCGGCCCTGGCACCAGGCCCGTTATAGGTCTGGTGCCCACCGGGGCCAGGCGTGTCGGCCAGAGGTCCTGATCGCGCCGTCTTCCTCCTCCTCCCTCCGCTCCATCTCCGTGCTGACCTGACCTGACGAAAGCCCGCACACGTCGTACCCCTGGGTCGCAGGCGCTGAGAGCGGGCTGAGGTAGCCCGCCTCGCACGCGTGGCCAGCCCCCACCGAGATAGGTGCGAAACTTGGAGGGTGGAGGAGCAGGTGAAGGAGAACCTGGTCCTCGTCTCTTGGCATCCTGATGAGGAGACCTGCAGGTTGCAGATCGCCCGGCCCGCTCGGTACGTCTTGGTCATGCGGGTAGCGCGGTGGACCACGTATCTGGCCCGTAGCGCAGTCGACGCGGTGTTGTGCATCAGTGGTTTGGCTCACGTGGACAGTGCGGTACCTCGCGGCTTCAGGCTGGCCGGTCGCGCCAGGTGTAACCCATTTTCTGTTTCTTTTCGCCTTGGTTGCGCATGGGAGGCGTCCTTCAATTGAAGCTCCTCGCTCTGTTCCCACTCGCGCAGCCTTAGAGGCGCTGATTGAGCGTCTGAGCGGATGAGCACGCATAAATATGGTCCAAGCGTGCGAACCAGAGATATACCCCTTCTTGCTGATTAGCTGCTCGATCGCCCAGGATTTCGAACACGTGTCCCGTCCTACTGCCATTTCGCGAAGCGGCGAGCCATTGCCGTTCGCATGGTGGCGCCGCCGATGGCCTCCAGATTCGCAGGCTTAATGGAAACTGGCTGTCTGGCCTCATACACTGATGGTCCAACTACCCGAGGCGTCGTCGAAGCTCCAAGCGTGGTCCTCGAGCCCGTTGAGCCGCCGTTGGTTTTGTTCAGCCTGGTGATTCGAATGCACCCTCTTCCTCGCAGCACCGTAGTAGTGGTCAGTGGAGGCGCAGGCACGTTGTCTCGAGTCCTTCGCCCCTTCTTTCAGGGCAGCCCTCGTCGTGGCTGATGCTCTGCGGCAGGCTGTAGCTCTCTTCGTAGCTGTAGCTTCCCTTTGACTGTAGCCATCGGCGTGGCTGGCGCTCTCCAGCAGGTGGTAGCCCCCTTCGTTTTTGCGGCTCTTTTCGTCGAAGGTTTAGCTCTCGTGGTCGTTGTAGTTCTCCTTCAGGGTGCAGCTCTTCTCTCAACGGTAGCTCTCGTTGTGGCTGCCGCTCTCTTTCAGGGTGTAGCTCTCATCGGGACTGTAGCTCTCGTTGTGGTTGTAGTTTTCCTTCAGGGTGCAGCTCTCTTTGTAGCTGTAGCTCCTGTTGTGGTTGTACTTCTGCAGCAGGGTGTTTCTCTCCTCGCAGCTGTAGCTTCCGTTGAGGCTCTAGCTCCCGTTCGAGCTGTAGCGTTCGTCGTGGCTGTAGCTCTCGTTGAGGCTGTTGCTCTGCTTCCTGTTGTAGCTCTCGTTGCCCTTGCAGCTCTCGCCGGAGCTGTGGTCCCTGCTCAGGCTGGAGCGACACTTGTGGCTGTAGCTCTTGCTGAAGCTGTTGATCTGCTTCAAGCTGTAGCTCTCCTTGTAACTATAGCTCTCGATGTGGTTCGTCATCAGGGTGCAGCTCTCCTGGTAGCCACAGCTTCCGTTGCCGCTGTAGCTCTTGACTGTACCTCTCCCCTCAGGCTGTGACTCTCTTCGTGGTTGTTGCTCTCGCTGCGGTAGCCCAAGTTCCCGCAGGCTGAAGCTCTCGTTGAGGCTGTAGCTCCCGTTCAGGCTGCAGCTCTCCTCGTGGCTGTCGCTCTCGTCGGCGATGCAGCCCTCCTTCAGGCTGTAGCTTCCCTCGTAGCGTCGGCTCTTCCTCTGGCTGTAGCCCTCGTTGTGGCCAGTGCTAGGCGCCAGGCTGTGATTCTCCTTCAGGGTGTAGCTCTGCGAACAGCTGTAGCTCTCGTCGTGGTTGTGGCGGCGCTCGCTTTGCCATGCCTGGTAGGCTGTAGATCTCGTTCAGGCTGTAGCTTTCTTTGCGACACTAGCCCTCGTTGTATTGTGTCTTGTGATCTGCTGCAGGCTGTATCTCTCCTTCAGGGTGTAGCCCCTCATAGCTGTATCTCTCGTAGTGTCTGCAGTTCTACTTTCCTCCAGGCTGCTGTTCATCTCGTGGTTGCCGCTCACATTGTTGCTGGTGCTCTGAGGCAAGCTGCAGCTCTCGTTGAGGCCGCAGCTCCCGCTCAGGCTGTAGCGCTCCTTCAGGTTGTTAAACTATTTGAGGCCGGTACTCTCTCACACGCCGTAGCCCTCCTAGTAGCTTTAGCTCTCGCTGTGGTTGCCGAGCTTCCTGGGGCAGTAGCACAGGCTCTTCCCAGTGTGCTCTCCCGTAGCCGTAACTGTCGGTAGCAGTAGTTTTCGTTGTGGTTGTAGCTCTCTAAGTCGGAATCGTCGGCTGCCAGGTCGGCCAGGTCGTACTGCTCCAGCCGATTTCCACGATGCAGCTCGGTAACTTCTTCCTTCTTAGCTTCCCCTTCCTTTCTTAGCCTCAACGGCCCCTTCGGGCTTCTTGGCCTCCGCCGCATTCCTGGCCTTCTCAGCTCACTCTTCCTTCTTAGCCTGAACGGCCTCGGTTCTCCCAGCCTCGAGCGCATTCCTTGCTTCCTGTGCTATCTCTTCTTCGGCCACTTTCTCAATTTCCCTAGCTATCCTGGCCTCTGTATTCCTAGCCTCGACGGCCTTCCTGGCCTCATCAGTCGCTTGCTTGGCATCTGCGTTCGTAGCCTCACCAGACTGTGTAGCTGCGTAGCCATCTTGGCTTCGAAGGCCTTCCTGGCCTCCTCTCCTTTCCTGGCCTTCTTGACTTTCTTACCCTCCCCTTCCTGTCTGGCCTCATTGGCTAGTGCTGTCTTGGCCTCCTTTGTCTTTCTGGCCTCCTGTGCATTCGGATGGATGTGTACACATATGTTAGCCAGCGTGGACCCCAAGCAGTGTGCTTGCAATCTATGCGTTGCAACCAACATGGTGCTATCAGACTTCAGTTGATGTTGTGCAATCAATGTGGTGCGAAGCAACGTGGTGCAACGCAATGCACGGCAATGCAAAACAATTCAAAGCAACGGAAAGCAACGAAAAACAATGCAAAGCAATCTATGTAGTGCAATCTAACGGCCGGGGCGAGCGGCGACGGCGTCGACGGGGCGGCGACGGCGACAACATAGTCGACAGACTGACAGGCAGGCCCAGCCGACGGGCGGCGACGGGGCGGCGACGGCGGCCACGTAGCCGACAGACCGACCAGCATGCCCAGACGACGGGCGGCGACGAGTCGGCAACGGCGGCCACATAGCCGCCGTACCGACCGTCAGGCCCAGTTCCGTAGAAGGGAAGCAAGAACCCCTAAATACAAGCACTGTATGTGGGAATCTATATAGATGTGTGTATGTGTTTACACATATATATATATACATATATATATGTATATATGTATATACCCCCCGGGGGACGAGGCCTTACAGCTAGAAGCTGGGGCCTCGACCCTCCATGGCCAGAACTGAGGGGACCCCCAGCCCTCGCCAAGACAGCGTCTAGATGGCTCTCCACGCCACCAGATGGTCCAGATGGCCCCAAGAAGGTTGCAACAGACGCTTCTGAGACGGCCCAGGAGGCCCTCGCGAGATCTTCAAGCGGCTTCCAAGGGACGTCTTGGGGCCCGCTTGAGACCGAACGAAGCATGCGAGGAGACGCCCTGGGCCCCAGGAGCCACGCGACGAGCCCCGGCCGATCTGGTGACTTTTGGTCCGGGCCCCTTCAGTAATCTCGAGGATTGACGGCTGAGGCTCAAGGGATTAGGCAACGGACTTCGGGACACTCCACTTCGTGCCACAGGGGCGCGGATATTCGTGGTCTTCTCTGCCTGCCTTGCATTCATAACCGCCCCTTCCTTGATCTCCCCGGCCTGCCACAACTCCTCAGCATGTTTGTTCCTCCTCTGCCTTCTCCTGGCGTCTTCGTCCTAGGTGTGGTATTCCTTGTAGCAGCCACCAAAGTCGTAAAATAATTGACAGCCCTCGTAAGCCTGAGCGCAATGATCGGTCTCGTCCGTTTGGTCGTACACGGTCTGGTGGTCTACGTAGAGCATGTCAAGCGGGTTCTCTGTGTGCAGAGGGAGGGGCGGACTGAAGGCCTCGGCGTCGGGGTTCCGCTATGTATTCTGCTGTCGCTGCCGTTGCTCGCAATCTGGCTCTGCACTCAGGATGCATCTCTCATCCTCGTTGCGGCCCACGCTCGTGTTGTGCCCCCCCTCTCGGCTGCAGCTGTTCTCGTAGTTGCATATTCGCCTAATGTTGTAGTTTGGTCGCCCTGGCAAGGGCGTTGGACGCGATGGTGACAGCATCGCTGAGAAGCGGTTGTCGTCCATGCCAGAATGCGTACCCAACACGCCTACATGCCGATAGCGTATTCGTACTCGGTCTCGGCATGGTTGCAGGTGTATCTCCGCGAAGATTGGGTCAGTCTTGTGTCTTTGACCTTCGTCGTTCTAGAGGATTATCACGTTGATAATGGTGATGTTCAGGTGGATCGTAATGTAAATCACGTGGGTCGTGAGTTACGTGGATCGTGAGGCACATCACGCTGGTCGTGAGGTATATCATGAAGGTCGTGATTCATGCTCCGTAGATCATGCGGAGTTTGATGGGGGTCGTGATGTATTCTCCTTAGGTTACAGTGCGCGTCGCTTGGATCGTGAGGTAGATCTTCCTTGAAGGTCGGGTCGTCTGCGCCCCGGCACGCAAGGGGCAAGCATAGCCCTCCTCCCCCTCCTCCCTCCCCCCCTCGAGGTCCTCCTCCCCTAATTCCCCATGCAGCTTGGATACCCGCGAGTTCACTCACTCCCCGTGTGCGCGTGCTGCGCGGATGCCGTCTCTAAGCTCGGTGGTGCCTCGTGGGCGCCCAAGAGCCGTGGGGTGCTTCTGGTGCTGGGGCCCAGTGTGTGTCTTAGGCGCGGAGGTCGCTTCTTGCGCGAGCGCCCGCGGTAAGTGCTTCACGCCCCCATGGCTCTGATCCCTGCAGCGCTGTGCACCTCGGCCTGAGGCCTGTGAGTTGCTGGTGCTGCCCTTTCTGTCCAGGCGGCGCGCTGCGTTCCCCGTTTGTGTGCCTTCAGCGAGTTCGCCCGCTAGGCCTGAGCTGAAAGGCGGTCTCGATTGCGCAGCCGCCTCGAAGTGCTACCAATACGTATTCGCCCTCGGTCACGTCCTATGCCTGCCCCCCCTCCCGCCATCATTCACCCTCGCCTACCCTGTGCTCGCCCAAAATCATGTTGCTCGCCCCCTTCTCTAATCCCACCTGCCTTGCGGGACTAACGCACCTATCCGGCTGGTTTTTCTGTCTGGCTAGTTCCAGTGGTGTCGGTCGGTTTGCGTTGGTTTCTGGGTGGTCGGTGGGTTGGGCCACAAGTGTTGGGAATTTGTTGGAAGGGCCAACAAGAGATAACACCTGGCACGCCAAATACCCCTCTGGCAGGCTACGGATGCGGCGGATCAAAGTTCCTGCGGCGAACCACGGACGCTCCTTGCCTTTCGGGAATGCCCATGTGCCTTATCGTTGGGCCGAAGGTGTGCCAACCAATTGGACTATGCGTTCCCCCAGTCGTTGGAAACACTGTGGGGAACACTTGGGGGTGGACGTGAGAGAGGAGCAGGAGATGGAGGATGAGGATGAGTATGAAGATTATGATGCTGATGATGGTGATGATGATGCTGATGATGCTGATGATGATGATGACGATGATGATGATGAGGCTGATGAGGATGATGAGGAGGAGGAGGATG